GATACAGTGGCTCCGTCCCCTGCGTGACATGAATCTATATAGGCAATTCAAAAATCCGTCGGTAGACAAGTCTGTGGCTAGTTCGATGTGTATTGCTTTCGTGCTAAAACAAACGAAGATGGATATATAGGATTTGTAGGTTGCTCGCGCTCGTCCCCTTTCCTTGAGCATGAATGGCCCGGCGTAGTCAATCCCGCAGGTAGAAAACGCTCGTGCCGGGGTTACACGGGCGGCGGGCAAGTTTCCCATTAAATTGTTCGTACCTGTTGGGCGAACTCTAAAGCACTTGATGCACTGATGTAATATTTTTTTTTTACTACCTGTTTGCCCGTTATTGGCCAAAATCGTGCGCGTAGTGATGCTAAGGTTAATTGGTGACCGGAATGGAGTAATCTACGATGCTCGTGCTCGACTATGAGCTTAGTGAGTGGGTGCTTCGCGGGTAGGATCATTGGGTGTTTGTGCTCGTATGCGATAGGTGCGTTATCGAGGCGACCGCCCACCCTGATTACTCCGGCGTTATCTAAAAATGGGCTCAAAGCCCTCAGCACGCTTCGAGGGTTCAGAGACCGTTTTTTAATTAACGCGTCTACTTCCAAGTTGAACTGATCTCTTTGAGCGAGTTTTACTAATGCTATTTCGGCGTCGATTAACTCGCGTGTGGTTAGGTACCGCGGATTCAACGGATTCGCTTGTGAGGCTGGATGCGTTAACGATTCTTGTCCAACCTTGCGTCGAAATCTTAAACAGTACGCCGTGATTCTACGCAGTGTTGAGTAATTAGAGTATCGCGACAGAAGGTCGAAGGGTTTGTCAGCCTTGCTGGTTGACGCTAGACAGGTTGCCTTGACTTTCCGTACCTCAGGTATATCTTGAGGGGAAGGTTGTACCGAAGGCCATTGACGGCCTTCTGTGCAAGCCAGTACGGACCGAACCACCATAATTCGCAATTTGTCAAAGACTTAGTGTTAGCGCCGCGCGAAATTATGTCCGCGGGATTGTCGTTCGAAGATACGTGATTCCAAACACCGCGCGCCGTCAGCTGCTGTATCTCCGAGACTCTATTGGCTACGTATTTGGTCCATTTACTCGGAGGGCTCTTGAGCCATGCTAGCACAATTGTCGAATCGGACCAATAAAATTCATCCGTAATGGACATTTGTAGTGCGCCTTTAGCCTTCGATGTTAACTGGGAGGCAAGAAGTGCCCCACAAAGTTCCAATCGCGGTAAGGTTGTTGACCTGAGCGGCGCTACTCGGGACTTCGCGCACAACAATCGGGCCGTCGAGGCTCCGGCTTTGTCTACCGTACGCAGGTATACGCAGCTCCCGTACGCCTTTTCTGAAGCATCCGAGAAGGCATGCAGTTCGATGCGATCACTATCGTGACTGATTACATGACGCGAAATTGATATTGAGGAAATTGTTTGCAATTCCTCCCGAAAGGCTGACCACTGCGTGTGGAGATCTTGAGGAAGTGTCTCATCCCAATTTATTTTCAGTTGCCATAAAGACTGCATGAACAACTTCGCCTTCGTCACTATCGACCCTATTAATCCGAGAGGATCGAAAATTTGTGCAATTTCCGACAATACGGTGCGTTTAGTAGTGCGTCCCGACGATTGCTTCCCGATGGAATACCGAAGGTCGTCGGTGCGGGTCATCCATAACAACCCTAATGTTTTTGGATCTTGATCCGCTGCTCTAATTTCTATTGACTCTTGGTGAGGATGTTGTGATCCTAACGTCTCGCTATCGTTGCTTGCCCATTTTCGTAACGAGAATCCTGCCCGCGCGAGGATTTCGGTTAAGTCCTTCCGTATTTTTATGGCGTTTGAAATAGTTTCGCAGCCGGTTAGCAGATCGTCGACGTAGAAATCGTTGACTATCGCGCGACTTGCTGCTGGGAACGCGTGGGCATGATCGAGACCGATCTGCTTTAGTACGCGGGTGGCTAAAAATGAGGCTGATGCAGTACCATATGTTACGGTATTTAGCTGATACACTTTGATGGGTGCGTTGCCACTCGGTCGCCACAAGATTCGTTGAAAATTGCGGTGCTCCGGGTGCACGAGAATTTGCCTATACATTTTTTCTATATCCGCCGAGAGTACGAAGCGGTGTTTGCGGAAACGAATGAGGATTGAAAACAGGTCGCTTTGTACGGTTGGCCCTACTAGTTGCGCATCGTTTAATGATACGCCTGATGAACCCTTTGCCGATCCGTCGAAAACGACCCGAATCTTCGTGGTGCTAGATTGTTTAAAGACAGCATGATGGGGTAGATAGAAGTTTGGTTCCGTGCAGATTACTTTCTGGTCTGTCAGTTGCGTCATGTGTCCTAGTGTATTGTACTCAGTCATGAATTCAGTGTACAGTCTATTAAGCTCTAAGTTTTTCGAAAATCTACGTTCCATTCCTAATAAACGGTTTTTGGCTTGTGTGCGCGATTGTCCGAGTTCGCCTAGTTTGCTATTGAATGGAATTTTAACTATGTATCGTCCCGTTTCGTCTCGTGTCGTCGTGAGATCAAAGTGCGTCTCGCTGGGATCGGTCGAACTACCTGAGGTTTCTATTGACGAGGGTTGTACTTCTTCAATTTCCCAAAATTGGGAAATCGTTCTATTCAAGTCTGTGGTCATCACTGAGTGGCAGGTGCTTCTGTTCGTAGGATGAGGGCTAATCAAACTGATTACACTACCGCCCAAAACCCAGCCTAATCTAGTCTTCTGCCACACCAGGTCGCTTGAGTCTACTCTTTGTTGTCCAATGCACAGCAATTTCCAAAATAGACCGGCTCCTATCAATAAATCTATGCGCGATTTTTTGTTGAACTGCGGATCGGCGAGCGTGATGTTTGGTGGCACGCAGATTTTTAGGAAATTGGTAGGCAAGTTCGGCATATCGTCAGTAATGTCCTTAATTACTAGACACGAGAGGTTCGTGCGAAACTTGTTGTCCCGCGAATGAATTACTACGTCTGATTTATATTGAATTGTCTTCGATGCTCTGCCGAGACCGCCGACAACTGTCTTTATAGGAGAACGCGAAAATCCTAATTTATTAGATAGCTCTTCTGTCACGAAGTGTTCTTGCGATCCTACGTCTAATAACGCGCGACATTCATGCCTTTTACCGTTCCTATCCTCTACATAAACGATCGCGGTCGATAGGACCGTATACTCTATCGCAGTACTCACGGAATTTGACACGCACGATGGTATGGGGCTATCTGATGAATCTACGGATGCTATCTCTTGGGCCGGCTCTTCTCGATGAAGAAGAGTATGGTGTTTTTTCCCACATTTCCTACACATTCCACGCGTACAATTTTTGATACTATGCCCTTGTTGGAGACAATTGAAACACAATCGGAGGCGTTTAATTGTTTCATGCCGTTCAAGGGCTGGCAGTGCCTTTAACTGCCCGCATTGTTGTAGCAGGTGCTCACCTTTGCATAGTGCGCATTGATTGCGCGTACTCGAAGCGTGAGCGGCTACCGTTTCCGACCTGCCCTGAAATCTATGCGCGCGACCCTTCTTAGCCTGCTCGGATACCTGCGCGATCGTCTGTGGGTTCGTGGCTGCCCGTTCGAGTCTTTTTGCCTGTTGTTCAATAAACTCGACGAAGTCATTGAACTTCTGTTTACGTATCGCGTTTGTAGCACGCATGTCCCATGCCTCGAAGGTTTTCGAATCTAATTTTTTAGCTAGCATGATGATCATTAGTGTGTCCCATGCCTCAATCGGTTCGCCTAATGCACCTAACGCGACCAATTGATTGTTGGCCTTGTCAATGAATTCTCGAAGCGAAGAACTAGTTTGTGCCGCGATATTCGGTATTTCTAAGAGCGAATTTACATGATGATGGATCAACGAATCGGGATCTTCAAATCGTCTTTTCAAATTGGCCCAAGCAAGTTTGTAATTCGTGTCAGAAACAGCCAGTGTTTCTATGGTGCGCGCGGCCGCACCCTTTAACGCCGAAGTTAAATAATGGAATCGTTGTATGTCTGTAAGCGATTTGTTATTGTGCACCATTGTCGAAAATGTATCGCGGAAACGTACCCAATGATCGTACTTTCCGTCAAAACTCGGTAGTGTGATGATCGGTAGTCTTGGAGCGCCTTGCGGTTCCATAGCTGCCGTGGGCACGGTGCTCGTAGACGCGGTGAGCTCTCGGGGCCCGCGCAAATTCGCGATAAGCGTTTCCGCTTGCGCAATTAGGGGAAAAAATACGTCTTCAAAGGCATCCCGTTCATCAAGGTGTTGTGTTTCAGAGTCCGAACCCGTCACAAGTATTTCGATTTTTGATTGAATACTATCAAATTTAGCGTGCAAATCTTCGTATGCTTTAACCTTTCTTTCTAATGCATCCGCGTTCATGTCGCCCGACGACGATTCGATAAAGCGCTTGAAACGAGTTAGCCTTGCTTTAATGGCTCCCCGTTCGGCAACTAATTGCTTTAGCGGGCTTTCTATTTCTATATAAATACGATATCGCAAGTAGAAATGAGTAAGGACTTACGAAGGGAGACAGAGTGCAAGAGTGGTGACGCTGCTTTGCCCAGTCCTCTAGATTCAGCTGAATCTCCGCTGCTGTGGTCCGGAACCGCTTGCTATCTTGTCCAGGGGCGTGACGCTCGCCGTAGATGATGGTGTTCAATGCATATTGTTTATGCTCGTGGTAATGATTCGCAAATCTATTGTCGAGCCTTGTTGAGTTTGCACGTGGTGTGCCGACTTTATTTTTATTTGACTTCTCGAAGGACCACCCCGATATCTTCAGGGAACAAATTCTATTTATTTTCCACGTCGCACTGGACTTCAAGAAATAGACTATATATTCTACTAGGATTCTAAGTGGTAACTTGCTGCTGTTCTTGGCTGAACTGACTCTCGTTTTTCGTCTTGAGCGTCTTCGAGACGCGTCCAACTAAAGACACGCTGATTGGCAGATAATTCTGAAAATTACCTACCAATCAGCTCATCTAGCCGTGCTGCCCACGCCCTTCCAGTGCGCCCTTAGCGCGATCTTTCTGGAAGGGTGGGAGACGGTTATAAGGGGGGCGAAAGTTAGTAACAATCCGGGAATTTCCTCTGGGTGACTGGTCGGTGAAAATACCGGCATGGCCAGTTGTACCCTTCGGAGTTCGTAATTTATGGCATGTCCTTCAGCTATCGAGCGCGAGGAGACACGACTTTCTAAAAAATATAACGAACTAATTGCCTTGCCCCGGCAGGATGGCCGGAAACGCGTATGAATGGAAAAGCAAATTCTGCAACTCAAAAATAGCCGTTCGGTACGGTCGTGCCATAAATCGTGCCAACGAAGCTCTAACAGTATACTGTTTACACTAATAAAACATGTCTTTGTTAACAGGTGCAGAAGGTGCTATGAGCATGTAAGTCTAATCACCGTCTTGAGTTGCAATACTCCGCAGGTAATTTTTCCTTGCTGTAAATAATTGCACTGAGAATTTGACAAAAGCCATGTAATTGACCTTATTACATATGAGGATATTCCAATTGTTAGTGCAGGCTGTAAATAGTGAGTACCTGTACTCGCCGTATTTGGGGCAGTGGAACATGATATGCTCCACTGTCTCCACCACATCATTTCAAAACGGACAGCACTCCGAACAATTTACGCCCCGTGTTTTTAAACTATAGTTGATAGAACCATAACCAGTGAGTAAATAAGTGCACAATCTGGGCGGAACAAACCAGTAATTTAATTCGCTGAATGTTACATTTGGTATGAATTTATGTGTGATACGTCCATGAGTTTCATTGTTCCAGTTAATCTGCCATTCCCTGAATAATTCTGTTTCAATTTTCGTAATTTCCTCTGCAATAATTTTGGGGCTAATCTCATTTACGGTAGGCTGAAAACTATAATTCTTCCAAAAAACTTGTGAATTTCTTTTAACTTTTCTTACTAAGGCGAATTTACAAATTTCCAGATTGATAGGCAGATAACTTCCAATAACCTGCATGGCAGCGGTGGACACGGTTCTACATGCCTTCGTTAAGACAATTAACATGGCTCTTTGTGCTGCAAAAATGTGTCTCTTAATCATTGCATGTTCAACTTTATCGTACCAGATAATGGATCCATAATTCATGATAGGTAAGAAGACTGCGCGATATAGTGTATTAAGTATAGGCTTTTTAATTCCCCATTCTTCGTGAGCGTGCCTTTTTATTGACATTACATATTTTACTAATCTGTTTCTAATAATTTTAACGTGTGTATTGAAATTCATCTTATTATCAATGTATATCCCTAAGTATTTATATACTTCTACATATTTAACTTTAGTGCTATTTAATTTTATGTTCGGCATCCTCTCCTGATCAAACTTACCCTTCGTCATCATGGCTTGAATTTTATTGATTGAGATCTTTAATTTGTTCAAAGCACACCAGTTTTCCAGTTTCGTGCAAGAGGTGTTTAGAAGCTCTTCAAGTGCATTCCTACTGTTACCTTTGACTAGGAAAACCAAATCGTCAGCGTAGGCAATAAACTGTACTTCATTCTCATCATAAGTCTGTTCAAGGTCTATCAGGAGGGTGTCAAGGCACCAGTTTCACGCTAAAGGACCGATCACAGAGCCCTGTGGGCAGCCACATTGCACAGTGTAAGAGATCGTTTCGAACTTATTACTAGCCTGTAGTTTTCTATTCTTAAAATAATTGTCTACGAGAGTTAATAAACTAGTACTGCATTTTGCATTTCTAAGCTGTGCTATTATGGCAGCCCACCAAATGGAGTCGAATGCTCCTTCAATATTAATAAATAAAGCAACCACATATTTCTTATTTGAGGAACCGACATCATCCTTGAAGGCCAGTAGAGCATCCTCAGTAGAAAGACCCCTCTTGAAACCGTACTGAAGCCAAGCCTACTATCGAGGTTATTTGCTATGTATTTTATTTGGATTCTATTAGTGATGATTCTTTCGAAAATTTTATTAAAGACAGATAATAGAGCGATTGGTCTATAGGAAGACACAGATTCCTTATCTGCATCAATGCTTTTAGGAATGATAATCAAATTTGAAATTTTCCATTCTTCCGGAAACTGGGACTCCCTAAGGCACTTGTTGTAAAGAATATACCTATGTTCCGTCGCGCAGGTACGGAACGCATGGGGTCTTCGTTGACCGGGTTTATGGCACGCTCGCACAAGAAGGTTATTTTTGAGAACAAAGACGCTTCGTAGCTCCGCGAAAAAATAAGTAATTTCTTAGAGAACAATGCCTTTAGAATTTCGACTTATCCGCGTCCTCAATAACCGAAGACGTGTCATAAACCAGGTATTCCTGAAGGGTCAATCCACACGCGCGTATAACGGCACTTTCGGCCGAGGGTTGACCTGGCGGGAATTTCCGACGCGTCACCGAAGGACAGCGAAGATTCCACGCACCCGCAGGTAGGGCCCTACTCCTTCCAAGAAAAAGTGCGCTAAGGGCGCAATGGAAGGATGAGTGCCACTCAAGGGGGACGTTGATTGGTAATTTGTGCGTACGTAAAAAACCAATCAGCGTGCCTCCTTGTACTTGGCGGGGGAGTCACGGCGGACCCCGGAAAAAATTCGGCAATCGAGAGACATTCGCAAGGAGTCACTCGTGTGAACAACACACACACACAGTTTCCAATCGTACGAGGAGACACCAGAGTCTTCGAATCGCGAACGATCATACGAGTCTAAAACAAAGTCGTCAATCGCATCGTGACGCAGGTTTGCTAACGTTCGAGCAAAGTAAACCTTTGAACTAATTACCCAATATTAATTTGGCGGGTTAGGTCGTGAGCACGAACAATTTTGAAACGATCAAACGCCATCGCGACGCGACACCTAACCTAACCTCAAAACAAATTAAGTGCTCCGTGTCTACGTCAGTTAGATCTAAAACGAACAATTTTGAAACGATCAAACGCCATCGCGTCGCGACACCTAACCTAACCTCAAAACAAATTAAGTGCTCCGTGTCTACGTCAGTTAGATCTAAAGTCTCTATTCGATCGTTATTAATAACCGCTGCAACCCAAGGGTTCTCAGCCCTCGGCTGTATCACCGTAGAGTTAGGAGCACCATACCCTCTAGTTTTGCCCTTATACGCATATGGTTTCTGAATGCAGATTAGATCCATTTTATCTTCAGACATGATTCTTCTTATCTGCGCTGCATCTGCCAAAGACCTTTGAGCATTGATCTGGCCCACTCTTAGCTCCATTGGATTTTGTTGTTATACAGCTCCACGTGCCGCAGGTACTCCGAACACTGTTTATTTCTGACATTATGATAAACATCCCTACGCTTACCCCTAGTGCAATTTATACATCTAGGATGATCCTTTTTGGTACATTCATCTCTATTGAGCTCTGTACTACCACAGTGTTCACACACCTGCTCTTCAGCACTACAAAATTTCGCCATTTGACCATATCCACAGCACTTGAAACACCTTATAATGTTGATGTACTCCTTTACTCTATAAGTACGCCAGTACATGAACACCCTCTCCGTGTCTAGCAGATAATTAAACATACGAGCAGGTAGTTGAACAATCCAGTTGACCCGATCGTTGTTTCTAGATTTAAAACTATGCCGAAAGTTTATTTGTTCCTTAAGGTCTTTAATATCTTTGCCGAATGTATCGGTCAAGTTTTTAATAATCAGGTCGTCTTTGAGGTCATCTGGTTTGTATTCCTTCTCAACATCGTAGATGATCAAACTGGGATTGAACTTCTTTGGCTCAACCGTTTTTAATCCCATTTTAGTAAGGTTAGTGTCTTTAATGATTTTAACTTCCTCTTTACTACCGACTTCGAGAACTACACCCTTGGTTCTCATTTGTCTCATATTCCTGACCTTAAGTTTATTTCTCTTTTTGCTGAGTAATTCGGCAACCTTCACCTTAAGCTCGTCATTCGATCTCTTATCATTATCATCTTTGGGTTTTATGATGATAACTTCGTAATTGTCTTTCTTTTTTTCAGGTAGCTGCGTAGCTCCCCCGGATCGAGATCGTGTACCACTTCGAGGACCTGTACTAACATTACCAGGAACAGGACCAGCTCCAGCAGCAGCTTGCGCGTAAGAAGTAACCTGGTATTCCTTACATTCGCTAAGAATGGTTCCCAATTTCGTTCGTTCCATAATCTCGTTTTGGAGCTTAGACTCCAAAATTGACCATTTAGCCATAATAAACTTAATGGCATTTTTATTTATCTTATTTGCTTCATTAAGCGGGTAAGATTCTAGAGATTCTCTTTCTGTCCTTAAATCGTCAAAAACAAGTGGCTTTTGCGGAGCCTCTTCCGAGACCTCTCTATCTTTTTTTCTTCTCTTTATAGCGTTGACTGTCTCATCAGGC